ATGTTGATTGAGGGGGCTGGTGACTGAGTGGACATCGCTTTAGCCTAGTGGACCTAGGGACCGGGGTTCGATTCACGGCACCGGCGGAAAATCAATGGGCAGAGTTTCCTTCACCCTGATGCTTCTGTTACCTAGCAGTAAATTGGTACCTGGGAGTTAGCTGCTACGGCCTGTTTCCCCTCTCTCTCTACTCACCTATTTGTCTGCAGGCTTGAGCATTGACTCTTGGATCCCGCCTTTCGAGCATCGGTTGTTTACAGCAATGACTCCAGTTAATGACACACACACACACACTCTGTGTGTGTGTGTGTGTGTGTACTCACCTAGTTGTACTCACCTAGTTGTGTTTGCGGGGGTTGAGCTCTGGCTCTTTGGTCCCGCCTCTCAACCGTCAATCAACAGGTGTACAGATTCCTGAAGTGTGTGTGTGTGTGTGTGTGTGTGTGTGTGTGTGTGTGTGTGTGTGTGTGTGTGTGTGTGTGTGCATGTGTGTGTGTGTGTGTGTGTGTGTGTGTGTGTGGGTGTGTGTGTGTGTGTGTGTGTGTGTGTGTGTGTGTGTGTGTGTGTGTGTGTGTGTGTGAAAAAAATAGTAACAGATGAGAGGGAAGCCGAAAAAGCAGAGCTCAACCCCCTCCCCCCCCATAAACACAACTAGGTGATACAGATGGTACACGAACAAGGGGACACAGGTGGAAGCTGAGTGCCCTAATGAGCCACAGAGACATTAGAAAGAACTTTTTCAGTGTCAGAGTAGTTAACAGATGGAAAGCATTAGGCAGTGATGTGGTGGAGGCTGACTCCATAAACAGTTTCATATGTAGATATGATAGAGCCCAATAGGCTTAGGAATCTGTACACCAGTTGATTGACAGTTGAGAGGCGGGACCAAGGAGCCAGAGCTCAATTTCTGCAAGCAGAACTAGGTGAGCGCGCGCGCACACACACACGCGCACACAGAACAGCGTTCAAGAACCTGTGTAAGGAATCATTCAGAATCTTGTACACCACCTATGTAAGACCAATCCTGGAGTATGCGGCCCCAGCATGGAGCCCCTACCTTGTCAAGCACAAGACGAAGCTGGAAAAAGTCCAAAGGTGTGCCACTAGACTAGTCCCAGTACTAAGAGGCATGAGCTACAAGGAAAGGCTGCGGGAAATGCACCTTACGACACTGGAAGACAGAAGAGTAAGGGGAGACATTATCACAACCTACAAAATCCTCAGAGGAATCGACCGGGTAAACAAGGATAAACTATTCAACACTGGTGGGACGCGAACAAGAGGACACAGGTGGAAACTGAGTACCCACATGAGCCACAGAGACGTTAGAAGGAACTTTTTTAGTGTCAGAGTAGTTAACGGATGGAATGCATTAGACAGTGATGTGGTGGAGGCTGACTCCATACACAGTTTTAAATGTAGATATGATAGAGCCCAGTAGGCTCAGGAATCTGTACACCATAGGAAGCCCCCATGAATGCGAATGCGTTGAAGCCCCCATAGGAATGAGTGACCACAGTGTACTGACCTTTGAGTACTTGGTGGAGGTAGGGATAACCTATCCAAGGATGGGAGCGGAGGGGAAAAGACTGAATTACCGAAGAGGAAAATATGACGAGATGAGGAACTTCCTCAGGGGAATACCATGGGAAACAGAACTTAGAGACAAGAATGTGCAGGCCATGATGGATTTTGTCACCCAAAAGTGCCAGGAAGCTGCAGACAGGTTTATCCCCGTCCAAAAGGAGAAAAACGAAAAACAACAGAAAAACCCATGGTTCAACCAGGAATGTAAGGTAGCGAAACAACTGAGTAAAAGAACATGATGAAATAACAGAACACCAGAGAGCAGGGAGAGATACCAGAGGGCCAGAAATGAGTACATCAGAGTGAGGAGGGAAGCAGAGAGACAGTTTGAAAATGACATCGCGAGTAAAGCCAAGACCCAACCAAAGCTGCTCCACAGCCACATCAGGAGGAAAACAGCAGTGAAGGAACAAGTGATGAAGCTGCGGAAAGGGGAGAACAGATACACAGAGAATGACAAGGAGGTGTGTGAAGAACTCAACAAGAGATTCCAGGAGGTCTTCACAATAGAACAAGGAGAAGCCCCTGCACTAAATGAGGAGGCGGCAAACCAAGCAACTTGGAGGAATTTGACCTCACCAGTGATGAGGTCAAAAGGTGTCTGCTGGAGCTGGATGTGACAAAGGCTGTTGGGCCTGATAGAATCTCACCATGGATACTAAAGGAAGGTGCAGAAGCACTAAGTGTGCCACTCTCTATGGTGTATAACAGGTCACTGGAAACAGGAGACTTACCAGAAAGTTCTAAGACAGCTAACGTGGTCCCAATATACAAAAAGGGTGACAGACAAGAGGCACTGAATTACAGACCAGTTTCCTTAACTTGTATACCATGCAAGGTGATGGAGAAGATCGTGAGGAAAAGGCTCGTAGAGCATCTGGAGGGAAATAACTTTGTAACGCACCACCAACAT